CCCTTCTTCGACGAGCCATAAAACCGTTTCGCGCGACCAAAAGGAAGCCTTGACGCGAGCCAGCATTCGCGTTTACTCGCGCGAACGCCTGCGCTTGCGCGATGCGACTTATTAACTTGTTAAACGGTCCTCGTTCTCTCCTGGATCGTTTGTTTCCTGAGAAACACGCTGTACGTGGGAGCGGGTAAATGAATTTTGAAAATACACGAATTTCCTGGTTCCTCTGTTATGGATGGGTACTTTCGTTTTGATGTATTTGTGTATGTATAAACTTATTTGTATGAACTAAAATTATTAGAAATCTATTGGGAAATATACAGGGTGGTTGGTAACTGGTGGTACAAGCGGAAAGGGGGTGATTCTACGCGAAAAAAGAAGTCGAGAATATAGAATAAAAATTTTTCGTTTGAGGCTTTGTTTTCGAGAAAATCGACTTTGAATTTTCGCTCGGTACGCGTGTACTTTATCACGTCTCGTTATAACGGATCTCACTGTAGATCGTTGTCTCGATAGAAAAATAAAAAAAAAAAATTAAGAAAAAATTTTTATTCTATATTTTCGACTTCTTTTTTCGCGTAGAATCCCTTTGTACCACCAGTTACCAACCACCCTGTATAATACAGCTTTTACTGTATATACTGTATATACTGGAGCCTATCTATTCTTGTTGAAGAATAAGTTTCCATTGATTATCTATTGGTTTATTAGTTCATGTATTGATTCTACCTAATCCAATAGGTTCTACTTGAAGAACTGTTCCTTAAAGTGTACATCAATATCACCAATTTACGACTTATATTATGGGTGTTTCTCCCAGGAAACTCCGCAATTAAAATTAAAGTACCGATAATACATCTTTAATGTCTTGAATCAATCAATATAATTAGTTCTCTCAGGTCCGCGTATCACTATCTTCTTTCCCTTGTGAAACGTGTGCACTACCTCTATTAAGCGTGTAGAAATTCATCGCGTCACAGCAATCTTTGATGACTGGGTCTCTGCGACCCTTGGTATCGCGGCGTGCACTGATGTTAGAAAGGGCGTGCGTTCACAAGCCAGTCACGAGAGGTTTGCGCGCATGTGAGTTCGTAGCCACCGTTCACCGCCATAATTCGTCGTTATCGCTGAGGAACAAAGTGACGGGTTGTTCTACAGGGCGGAAGTGGCGGTCCTTTCTCTGAATGGCCTTCTGCTGCTTCTCGCCCTTTTACCTTTATTTTTTTTTTTTTCTTTCCCTCCTCTACCTTCCTTCTTCTCTGGGGATTACGCGCAGTCAGACCAATTGGAGCGTAGGCGACGCTAATTGGCATTGAAAAAAGGTGGTGACGATAGCTAAGTACCCGACCAAGGGACGACCCTCTGTAAATACCTGGCCGTTTAACGCTCATGTTCACGCCCACCAACCCTTCGTGCCCTGCTCGCGCGCACTTTCTTCTTCTTCGTGAAGAGAGCGGCTGCTACCGGGTTTCTGAAGGTTTGCATCGACGATCCGCGCGAGTCAGTATGGACCTCAAAGCACGACAGCAGCGAGAAAGTCTCGCACACAAAACTAGCGAGTAATTAATTAAAACGACCCGGTGGAAGAAGGGCTGCAGTTTCCCGTGCCACGTGAGGTTGACTGCACCAACAGACGCGTTACGCATCGACCGTCACTCGTCGTCCAGTTCAAAGACTTCTGACAAGAAAAATCGTAAATGGGAGGGAAAGATGTGTTTTCCATCTTTAGACACTTAGAGTTTTATAAGATTCACGTGCAATGATCATCTTTCCTGATAACATTTACTTTTAGATATCCATTTCTATATTTCTCTTGACAATTTTTTTATTTTCTAAAGAAAATATTCTTTCGATATTTTTTCATTGAATTTATTACTACATTATGGTTGTCTAGATAAGCGTTAAAATGATTAGAAACAACCTTTAATTCTCTATCAATGAAGTATTGCGAATATTTTGAGTAACCGCCCCATCGTCCCCTGGATAAATAATTATACTAGCCAAGTCTAAAATTTAGTTAATTTCAGTCATTGTATCTTGTTCGCGATGTGTTATTTTTGAAAACGTAAAATTAGACCAAAGGTATAACGAACTCATTTTATTCGCGCGTCTTTTGTCTCTCGAGATTTTAACAGGAAAATTAAAATATAATTCCATCGTGATGTACAAATAATTACCACGGAAATACGGAGGGGTTCTGAGCGCTGTCAAAGGAATATAAACACCGTGAACGCGAGGGTTGTTTTGTTGCGTGCCGCAATTGCCTACCGGTCTTACGCGAGAGAAACGGTCGAAGCTCTTGGGTCCTTCGTCTGTTACACCCGAACAACGGACCGTAGCGAAAACACGCGGAATTTCTACAACGCCTCAACTAATACCCTCTTTAAGCTCGAGTGGTATAAAACGCTGTAATTAGCGCGAATCAACGGTGACCGGGTTGGAAGGCCTGTCTTTTTATCTCGGCACCCACACCCCTGTATCCTTTCTTCTTCTCGTTCTTTCTCGCTGCCTATCCAATCTTTCTTTTTAATCAGGATTTATACGCATTACCGAGCCATTCGTATTTAATCAGTAAATCTTCCTCCCAAATTTTGTTCTCACTCCTTTCGGCAAAATTTAGGTGTTTATTTAACGTGTTCTCTACTAATCTGATCACTCTTCGTAATATTAGGTTGTGAAATATGTACCTAAACTCGTCCTGTTCTTTATATATTGCATCTTATATATATTAACCTTTTCACAACGGGCAACTTCGCCGTGGCACATCCGTTGACCGAGCCGCCGCGCCAAAACAGTGCAAATGTTCTCATTGTTTTCTCCAGCTAATTCCTCGGCTAAACAAAATATGAATTCCTTTCTGAATATTTTCGATCTGGTGCGCTCTTTATATAATATCCACGTGTTTAACAAATCCAAATCGCTGACAAATCCAAAATATTGAAAAAGACTTGAAGGGGCCATCGGAAATTATCACACTATATTTGCGTGCCATTTGGTCAACGACGTCCACACCAAACTTTGTTTTATTGTAAAAAGCAATGGTTTCTGGAACACGTTTATAACTATCTTCTATTCGGTGCTTAGGAGGAGGACTTTTACGTTAGGCTTACTTTCATACACAGTAAGCGTGCAGTTTTCTGATTTATATTGTGGCGGATCGGTATCAACAGGACGCCGACAGGTCGAGGCATCAACGCGGCGCAACACCTCCCGGGCGATCCGCTGGTATCAACCTCCAACACTAAAGGGCTACGACGACAACGAGTCTGTCTAACTCGCTAGCGGTCGAATATACGAGCGATTGATACAAATACCGCACTTAGCGAGACTCCCTCTACGTCTAAGACAGGGACTACCGGGCATAGCCTTACTGACGAGTCCACCGTTAGTCCCGGGACGAAATGCACAACTCTCTTTTCATGCGCCACAACTGTTTACTATAAATTTGAAGAAAACAAAGTCATATTGTCCTTTTTTCCCCTGAACATAGAGTTTCATCTTTCCCCACATGAGGGAAACCATCCAAAATATATTTTGTTTGGACGTCAACTGCAAACCAAAACTTAATGCTAAATTTATGAGGCTTATTCGGCATATATTGCGTAAACCTGCATCGGGATTTCGTTGGAAATAATTGTTCATCTATTGAGATATTTTCATATGACTTGTAACAAGCCTGGCTATTACTTATGAATCTGTTCTATATTTCGGATTTTTATCTGTTTTATCTGCAAATTTATCTGTTTTTAATCTTTCGGAGGCTTTCAATGATCTCGCTTCACATGCGATTCAAATAGAATTCTTAGAAAACTACGTAACTCATCAACTGTGATTGTCCGTCTTTTTTCAAAACTTCATACGTCTCGGTTTCAGTGCAATCTTTTATGTGTTCCATTATGTGTCTGTCAATTATCAATTCGAAAGCACTAGTTACACAACCCGACATAATATTTCTCTTAGCATAGCCAGTAAGCCCTGCGATATCCTTGAATATCATAAGAGCGGGCGTCCTACCCCTAGATCCGCCTGCTTTTAGTTTTATCCACTGTATCCCGTCAATTGCAATTTCAATTTCACCCGTTACATTTTGGGATGTGCCTGGAATACTCGTCCTTTCGTCCTCGAAGTTAGAACTAGAAAAAATACGCATCCTTTTCTTGTTATGGCACACTTTCAAGAAGTTTTCCTCTTCACTATCCGAATGTCCTTCCGTCTCTTCACTTTCAGTGTATTCAGAACTTTCACTATCAACTTCGCTTTGGCCTAATTCATAGCGATCTTTTTCGAAGGTATCCTCAGAACAATCTCCATTGATGTCGACAATTATGTTCAATATCTTATTATATCTCCTGGATTTACTCATAATTGCTAAACGTGAAGCCTAATATTGTTCCTTTCAGACTTAATTTGAATAAATCGATTTTTTAAAGAAAAATGCGTATTTTCGTATACCCGTCAATATGACGGGTGCTCGTAGAGATAGATATATACGAAACGCCCGTAAACCTAGTGATAATAATATGATATAATATAATATAATCGTACGATACTAATAGCTTTTAATAATAGTATTGTGTGTGGTATTTTTCGAGACATGGTGTTATACATAGGTCAACATCGCAAATCTAGCACTGGTATCGCGATTCGCAATCGATTATAATTGACAACACACTTTGGATTTTTAATCATTTTTTTTGCGTGCGATAATGACGTTTCGTGTCAACATATTCTTCATTGTGAAAAGAGGACAACATATACATTTCCCTCTTGTTACACCATTTTATTGTTAATAAAAGGCTTAAGGATGTATAATACTCGTTCTATGTAGAATACGTGGCATCTTACGCAGAGCGACTGTAGTCGCCCGCAGTAGCGAAAGGTTATACTATATTCTATTTTTAGAATATTTTCAACTTTCCAGAACCTTCTATATCGTCCGTATTGAATTAGAAATTTCAGGTAAATTTTAAATTACCTAATCAGTCGTCACAATGGAAATACCTAACGGTACCTTATTATTGGCATTTCACGAGACAAAACTTTAATAGTTAATAAAAGTTTGATCCTAAAGCAAGAAGCAAACGATAAGTCAAGAAGTCAACGAATGAAAATGCGTCCGCTTCACGCATGAAAAGCGGATTTGCATGGATGTTTATTCCTGAATGTGACGGAGAAAAGATGCTTAGGTACAGGAGAGTTAAAACCAGGGCTAGGTGTTTACAACGGTTAAAATATTGTTTACTACTTGAAAATCGTCCAGACTTACCATTTCGTTTTACAACGCAAACAAGTAAAACGAAATAGCCGCGTGACCGGTGCAATATTTTCATTTTAATTACGGGAACGATGGTAAATATTCGACTTTTTATCTTCACATAGTTGTCCCATGGTCGTCACCACCATAAATTTACAAGGCATTTTATCGCTTTTCCTGCTTCCTGCCACAGTTGTACACTAATAGTTCTCCTTTCTCTTTTCTTTGTTCTTCGCGTTAACAGATTGTATTTCGTGTTGACAGACGTGTTGTTGATGAATGACAAGGGACATTTTATTTCTCTTTCTTCGACTTAGTTAAACTGTAAAGAGATATTTTTGTAGGTAATAGCATAGGACGATTCAACTATTATGTAGGAAATCTTAATTACAGATACTTGTAAATAATGGTATAATGGAATTATATTATATTGAGAGGTAATGGATTAAATTGTTTGTTCTCTGATTATCTTGTATTAGGGTATCTCCTTCATTTATTTTATTCAAAATTTATAGTTTAATTTTTGTTACAGGTGTGCGCTATATGCGTTAGTACATCGAAATTTTTATATATTTAATACTATTTTATATATTTAATACTTCGATCTTTTTTAAATTTAATACTTCGAAATTTTTATGTTTATCCGAAAATACCTTTGTATTTATGTTCATAATGCTTAAATCATTTATTATAAATATTGAAATGTCTTAAGAATGACATATCAATAATACGTCTATTGACATAACACCTTCGTTCAATGGTCTAATATACCCGTTATTAAATATAAAAGATAAACAATATAAGGAATATTTCCATAAAAACTTAAGCAAACAACTCATCGGTAATAACTCGAAGATTAAAAATCCACTCAAATGCCCTTAGAATTTTTTCCATTCTTCAAAAACGCGTGTAACTCGCAGATTATTATCCATGACATGAATCGCGTAATCCTGGCTCTTTTATAGCGAACAGTAGCGAACGAATAGAACGACTTAACGGATAAAAGCGATAGGTTCTTCGGTCATCTGGCGGCGAAGCGTTTTCTTTCATCGTTGGAAGACGTTTCCCGAGACAGGCGGTGATACGACTCACGTTAAGATCCATAGGGCACACATCCGGGTATTTGTAGCACGCTGGTGTGCAACATGTAGGCACTTAGATCGTTCCTTTGTCCACCATTGTACGGACCAAACATACGTTTCTTCGAATGTCCATTGTCGCCGCCCATGCCCCCGGTTGGTTATGGACACTTTTCCACGCAGTCATTGTCAAGGCGACTCGTATAGCGGTGGGTGTGCTTTTTAACGGCAGATTTTTGACCCTCGCCCACCCCCTTCTCTTTCGTTTCTCGCCGGCGCTCGAGTTTTGTCTCGGGTGTCGTTGAAACTGATGATATTCCGCATCTTTTGTTGAACGTGTCGACCTGGCAGGTACATGCTCGGTGTCGTCGTTTTCAGACGCATCAACGTGCATGCTGCCCCTTTTTACCATTTTCTTTCGTCGACACTACCGCGAATCGTAAATAGAACTCCTTTGTGTTCGATTTTTACAAGGGAAACTATACTTCCTCGACGCAATTGCTGCTTAAGCGTTTTAGATACTCTATACTGTTCTAATTACTAAACCATATAAGGAAATTCGGACGAAGTGTACAAATTATTAGGAACTTTTCAAAAGCTTTATCTTCGCATGAATATACATTATACGATTCGCACAGGGAAATAAGCGTTAAATTATATTTCAAAGTATCATTTACCTGTAAGTTCGCCCTCCGCTTGAAAGATGTAAATTTGCGTGCAGCTTTCGGCTCGTAAATTTCCAGTCGCGTCGTGTTGCACGCGAAGGTTCGCGCCATGCCGATCTTCCGTCCAGCAAGTCTGTGATCCGATGGAATTGTCGAGCGGTCGCGAGTCCCATTAATCACCCTCTTCCGGAATTCGAAACGGCGCAATTTCAAGATTGATGGAACGTCTAACTCTTGAGCGTCGCCCAGTATCGAAAGAGCCAGGCCGCCATTGTGCGTGTAACGGTCGCGTAAAAAAGTCAAAAGAAATTTTCCCTATTTCATATTACCAGCTTTCTTTCTCTCCTATTCGTTCTATCTCTCTTACTCTCGCAGCATCGCNNNNGCAGCATCGCGGAGGGGGAGCCGTGAACGAATTGTTTACAACGACGTCAGGTCCTACTCAGGCCGTATTGCTTTCCGTGGGATTGAAGTGCTCGTAAAACAAACCCCCCTTGAAATTAGAGCAGTCCTTGCGGCTCCATAGAGGCGCACACGTACGCGCGTACACGTTCTGCGTGCCCTTCCTCGCGCACGATACAATGTCTCCCCTCCTCCCCCTCCCCC